AAAGAATCAGTTTAATTGGAACAGTGTGATCTGCGATCAGCAAACAGATAAGAATTCCACATGTAGTTAGGACTCTGAGTAATTATTTAGCTATTGCAAAATACTGTTATGTATGCGAGAACGTCAGTAGTGCTATAGTTTCAGATAATAATAGCTTTATTCTGAATAGCATGTTTATTTAGAATTAAGAACTGGTGTCAGCTCATGGTGAAATCCTCCATACAATATTTAGGAAAAGCTAATATATTTTACTGAGCCGAAGAAGATACTGATAGTACATCCTAAACAAAAATAGAACTTTCTATAGTTTGGTTTGTAAGGGTTAGTTATGTTTTTACGAGTTGATTACGGATTGATATCAGTTAGAGAACCATTGAAAACCAGCACCGGAGTACTGGACAGCTGCTGTTTCATCCTAGTTTGGGAATCATCGGCAGTACGCACCCACTGGGATTCGAACCCGGGACCTTCCGGTTACAAGGCAAGCTCGTATACCATTCAGCCACTGGGACCCGATTCAATGGCTCGTGAATTCTAACTTCTACTAATTCGTGATTAAGCGCAACCCCAACCATTGTCGTTGGTGGGACATCCATCCACACACGTGACATCTAATTGGACCTCACTGGTCACGACTTCTCACTAGAACTCAGGAAACTCCAACCTGTAGCAAGTCACTAGCGAGCATCAGATCAACTTTCTATAGTTTGGTTTGTAAGGATTAGTCCCAGTGGCTGAATGGTATACGAGCTTGCCTTGTAACCGGAAGGTCCCGGGTTCGAAACCCAGTGGGTGCGTACTGCCGACGATTCCCAAACTAGGGTGAAACAGCAGCTGTCCAGTACTCCCTGGTTTTCAATGGTTCTCTAACTGATATCAATCCGTGATCAACCCGTAAAAAATAGAACTATGTTTCTGAAAAAAAATTGTAACTTACCACTATATGCACTTTCTTACCATGTATAAACAAAGTTAAAAAGGTGTGTGAGTGACTTGATATGTTTATGAGCAATAAATTGTGCTCGTAAGGTCATCAGTAAATATTACTGTATAACACTCTGAGACTTCATCAAAGTAAAATTTTACCCACAATGGAGTAAAATGTTCGGTTTGATCAGATATCAACTCTCGGCCTATGCAGCCCTAAACCTCACTTCAGTGGTATTAAGCCCAGAAAGTAGGTGAGATTAGGTGTGAGGAGAGCTGCCTAACTCTGTAAAAATAAGATAACTACTGGTGAAACTTGAAGTTCTGTGCTACATTCGAAACGTAACGGGATGAGAAAATGACTACTACCTTCATCATTTATAAACTAGATAGATCGTGGATTTTGCTTGAAACTTTAAGAAATTCCTTTAAAACCTAGCAATGGAGGGCTATGGTGATTACCCCTCAGTATGATTCACTTACACCCAAAGATTATGGGATGTTGGAGACCCGTAAACTTACTTTTTAAACAAATCATTTAGAGGATTTCTGATTAAAACGGTAGGTGACTAAAAATCCCATTTACTGAAATTCATCTACACATCCTGTAGAAATGATGAAAACTACCCTTCATCTTTTTTTGCCTCACGTCGTTCTTAACTGGCGAGCAGCAATAAAAGAGACACTAATTGGGCAACGCATGCTCGGTCTTCGTAAGTCAGCATAATTTACTGCTTTAGAGTTGTTGTGTAAAATGTTGCCCAATGTTAGTAACTGAAGCTGAAAGAAAACTAATTTAAAACACTTTTATAGATAACATTCTATTCCTGTAATTCATCTCAAATGTATGATCGTAACAGTGCTGGATACTACATTTTTAATTAGCAAGGCAGTAGTAGCCATTTTCTGACCTATTTGTGATAATTATGCCCATCATAGTAACCGCTGATAAATTTATGATATTCCTTATCCTCTTTACTCCAAAATGATCAGTGTGACAAAAAAAGAATAAAAATGAAGCAAGATTCAGAAGAATTGGTAAAAACTGAACGTGATATTTCCCTAAATAAAAGATTACATTAGTACAGAATAGGAGGGAAAAGAAAAAATATATAAATATATATATTCTTAACATACAAATGATCCTCATGACACTTGAAAATATTCCCAACTGACCAGTTTTCATCATGAATTAAGTTAAGTGGTAGCTTATACTTAAAGATATGGTGGGCGGTGTAGGTTATAATAATAATAGTATCAAGTCACGGAGATTAATTAGTATTAGAGAAATTTGAACCATCCGTAATGACACGCACCCACACACACACATACATACATACATACGAACGTATACCTCTCCATTAGTCGCACAAACTTACGATGTGTACTTAAAGTAGATTAGAATTAATTCATAAGACTATTGTGAAAAATATATACAGCAAGTGTAAGCAGCTTTTGAAGCACATTTAGGTAATAATAATCATAATAATTTCCATCTCATATTTATTCTAAGCTGCTTATCTGCTTGCGTCATCCAACTTCTACAAATAAAAATCATAATCGTTATAATTACTATTATTGTGTCATAATTCTGTCATGAGTTTATACCATTTGATTGTTTCTTCTTCAAGCGCATACAGATAATTCAGTAATGCTGAGTAAGTAATATGTATTTTTGGCATTTTCAGAGGCCACGGGTATTAACGTTCACGAACAGTACGATTTATACTAACGCAAGATCTAATACTCACAACTTCTACAGTGTTCGTTTTTCGTAGACCAAAGGCAAAGCAAAACACCAGAAATGATTGTCCAATTTACGAAGTATATTTCGCGACCAATTCGGAGTGCATAACTAGCTAGAGATCGTGCACGAACGAACGAACGAATCTAACACAACAGCGTGCCAAATGGTATGGATGCTTGACTGTATGCTTTTAGCTAAACAAATCCTCCAAACAGTTAAACAAATCGACTTAAACGGTGAGGGTTAGTATACAATGTTCAGTGATGAATACTATGGCTAATAATTCTGGGGAATTATCTACCGCCATACATTCCTTTAAGCCTGAAGCTTAGAAGTATCAATAGCGGATGTGTTGTTATTTTACTGAATGGTGTTGTTAGTCTTATACGTTAACTTCCGTCTTGTCGAAACTTAGATGATTTAAAGATGAGTGAATGTAGCAATCGAACCCGGATCGCCGTCACAGGTGGTGAGCATTCTATCATTGATCCACCGTTGCAATAACCTTTTTCTTTCACATGTATGGAGTTTTTAGAAAATTGCGTATGAAACCCGAGTCTATTACTAAGATCAATGCAATAAAGAAAAATGAGGACAAATTTACCGGATGTGCATCAAGTGGATGTCTAAAAACACCACTTAACATTTTCACATTTTCAAACAATTATTTCTTTCTACATTTGTGAGACTACTGCTTAAATAATCTGGCTATTTAACTGATAATACAATGAAATTCGACTTGAGGACAATCAAATTTGTCAGCCTTATGCTTAAATGCTTCACAGATAACATTATAAGACTAAAATTTATGTTATCATCCTAATTATATAATAAATAATATATAGAAATATAGGAAAAATCCCAATTATGCACTGTTCATTCTAATTTTCACCCAATGGGTTAATGAACGAATATCGTTTAACTGCGTCAGTTTCTACAGTTAAGTCTTTTTCTAGTATTCAGTTAAAAGTGTCCTCTCTGCATCACCATGCATTTCTAAGCATACAGAAAATGGCAGATTTTTCACTGATTGGCAGATATGATTTGCATTCAAGTGGCGGTAAGAATTGGCTAAACGAAGTGTTTAAAAAAAAGTATATTGAATAACTGAATTAGGGAAAAAACCTTCATGTATCAGCATGTTGTTGCTGGAACTTAATGCCTATAAAAAGGCCTTTCTTATCATTTAGGAATAAATAACGAGCTTTTCGTATGTTTGTGTTCTCTAAGGACTTAAATTCGTTGAAAGCCTAATAGTTGAACCGTTCAACCCAGTCAGTAAAACCGTATCAGGAAAAACATCCAGTTGATCTAGAAATCGAAATTAATTCATGATGATTGTTTTTAGTAAAGGAAAATTAAACAGCAGGAAATGTAAAATATTCAGTACATATTAAATTCTTATTTCGTCTTTATATATGGATAAAAGTTGAGTTATTAAATGTAAATTGCCATTACAAGAATGGGTAGTCAAAATTCTTCACATAGTATGCTGCTGTGATAATACTCCTACCATCACACTTATTATTTTTACATTAATCACACTAGAAATGTATGTTGAAGCTAAGAATAGTGGTTCTTATCGTGTGGTTAAGTTGAATCAACTTGAAACTCAAACACCCTAGTCAGTATGCAATTGTGCATATCTGCGAGATATTGTAAATTCTAGTTGTTATAAGCAAGCGAACTCACCAACGGATACAATAATAATGATATTCATAATTTTATCTCTTCTATTACGCTTCCCTACATTCCTCAGAAAATTAGCAAAGAAGCGAAACGTAATTGTTTAATACCCTTACAAAAGTAGCAGCGTGTGATTCACATCAGTCGAAGATCATTAAACCTGGAGATGAGTCTTCGCTTATCAAAATGCAATCTGGGTGGGGGGCGCTGTAGTTACGCCTAATTTCTCGAACATCTTTTAACTGAATTGTACAAGTAGACGTCCATTGTGGAAAAAAGATTAAAAACTAATTCACTTACTCTGAAATTAGTGGAAATCGAAACTTCCAGTCAAAACACTACAATGATAATAATGCAGTACACAAGTTTGTCGATAGGTTCCCTACAACTCTAGGACCTAACTCAAAACAACAGAAAAGCTACTGAACAATAATACTTTGGAAATGAAACACTGAAAATGAGTTAAGCTGTACAATTTGCCACATTTTTTCTTTCAAATTAACAATCAAAATCTACGAGCAAAAACTTCTGATAAAGGCATATTTAATTAAAGCGAGGATATAATTAGTATTTACAAGTTATTTATTAAGCTTATTTAAATTTTGCATGATGTGTACACATTATTTGCAAATGGCGCTCTTTTACAGTCATTTAAATTGTTCAAGTTTATGGTGTATATTTTGTTATCACAGATACGCTGCCAGAGAAATAAATTAGATAGTAAATTAAATGACTTCTAGCTCAAGTTTCAATCGGATAACTTATCCATTTTTGATAACGCCTTTGTGGAATAATCTAAAGCCTGAATATCTATCATGTTTATATCATTTGGTGTATGATTATTAATAATATTATTATTACTATGGTTATTTATAATACTAGTGATATTCATATCTGAATACGTTGGTTTAGTGACAGTGAACTGTGAATCGGTATATGCATTATGATTGAAGAAAGTACTGCTAATCTCGGCGTTATGATGGTATAGATTGATTGAGTTAGGTGACCACGTAGAATTATAATGAGAAATATTCATTAGATCAGATTGATTCACTAACGAAGCATGAGGAGACTGTTGAGGTAGCGCTGATAAGTTGGATTCGCACATGAACGGTTGATTAATAGGATTCATATTTGGGGGATATAAACATGTTGGCGTTAGAAGAGTTTCGTTTTGCACAGGCGGGATGACGGGGATATTCTGAACATTCATTTGCACTGTGGAGCCCACATTAATCGCCTTCATATAATAGTTGTAAAGTAGTTGATATCTTTCATATAGCTGAGATAATTGATTCAATGAAGGTGAATCGGCCGGGTAGGACGTTAGTGTGGAAGATATTGTAGCAACTGGAAGTTGGGTTTGAACTGGATAAATTGAAGAATGATTAGGAGGAGTCGACACATTTTGAAAATTAGCCTCTTGAATTTGATTTGTCCGACGTTTGGGTGCAGAGAATGCAGAGGTATACTGCTCTGAGTAGATCTGAGTTTGTGGTGCTGATGTTTTAAACGACTGGTATGCATCAGGTGCAGCAACTACATTTTCGTTTCTGGAACAGTTTATTACACCACTTTCCTCTGAAAATTTTGCTCTGACATTTCTCGATAGATTTTTGTTTTGTAAATGAGTTTCTGCCGTTTTGGGGAATTAGATGACGTGTTCAAGATACCTGAAGTTCTTTTACTTTTTGGTGTAACGTGATTTTCTTCTAAATTAAAGGGAATGAAGAAATTTCGTTAAATGGTTCACATTTATACTTAAAGTCACAAAAGTTGTAGTGTATACCACCAAGTGCTGTTCAATACTTCAATAGTAGATAACACCAATGAAACTAGAAATTATAGAAGTATTTATCTGCTCTAGGCTATACTAATTACAGACACTTATTGCGTCCTCATGTAGTGTCAACAATATCACACCAGTTGCTCTACTGCAGTCTCGTTAATTCTTAAAAAACTACTGATTCGGATCACGATGTTTTAATAATTTTCTAAAAAATATCAGTATTATTGAAGTTTATTTACTAATAGTCACAAAGTTGCACTGTTCTGTCAGGCCCAGTTTCATTGACGTCACATATTGAAAAGTGCTATTTTTTCACCTTAGTAGCACTTCAGATAAACTAAATTTTCACTAGGCATTATCGCTTAGTTACACTGAAATCGCGTCTTGATCTCAGTCTTCATATGCATAATCCCAGCAATACTAAGTCTATCTCATAAACCTACTACCTTTATTTTAAAGTACTCTGTCTGTTCTTGTACACTTAAAAAGCAGAAATTCAACACGTATTTCAAAATATAAAAGAGATAATAAACTCACTTTGATGGGTACGCATATGTGTTTTCATTGAACTTTCTTGGGCATAACCTTTGCCGCACACAGCGCATGTATGCGGTTTTCGACCTAAATAAAACAAAATGACCAATTTTTTGAAATTTATTAATCTAATAAATAAACCATTAGAAAAAGAATTTTTGCATATTTATTTCCTAATTGATTGTTTCCTCTGTGTCCAGCAGTCCCTCATATGAGGATGCAAAAGTATACTATTTTAAAAAGGTTGTTTGTACAGCTGTCTTTAATTTTCATTCAGAAGGGTTTTGCTGAACATAGTTCCTAGAGAATCTTTCTTCAGTGTGCCCTTTATCATTTCTGATGCCATACGACACCGGGGTTAAATTTTTAGTAAGAATTATATATGTGCATACACATATTTATAGGGACATTCAATGATCAAATTAAGCGCAAACTCTGCTTACCTGTATGAGTGACTTCATGGGACTTTAAATTACGTTCCGTTGCGAAACCACGGTCACATAATTGGCAGCGGAAAGGCCATTCACCGTTGTGTGTATACTCATGTTTTCTTAAATCGCCTGGTGTGACAAATGCTTTGGGACACTGACTACAAACATGCCTTCGTGTCTGAAAGTAAACGTGAAAATGTATTTAATAATTGATTTATTGACCGGCTTGAGGTATATGCCCTAGAGAAGAACGATGAGATTGATATCTGAAATTGAAATAAACCTTAAACCATAAATATGTTAAACAACGTCATTTATGAATAAATCAATTTTCGACATTAGAAAGTATTATGGAAAAGTAGTGATTCACTTTCTAGGTTTATCCGCATTTTCAGGTAGTAATTTACCAACTATGCTGCAGATTGTACTGCTCTTCGGCATACGTAATACACCATAGAACAGATGCAACGATTAATCGGTATATAACTAAGTGGAATGGTTAGGCCAATGCATATGTCAAGACTGTATGATGAAAGCTAAGACATATTTAGTTATTTATAATTCAGTGGCTTTTTAACAGATTACCGCGAAATAGATTCGAGTTCATATAATTTAGAAAATTCCACCAACAATAAGATAATTAACACCACACTGTAATGGACATAAGTGTGAATGGAGGAAAGACAATGAATAATGAACGACACTAGAGATATTCAAAGTGAATATTAAAGTTTATTTTAAAAACCTTCAACTTACATTTGTGTGTGTATATTTATGAAATATTAGGTTCGAACCAGCTGCGAAACGCCTTCCACATATACGACAAACATATGGTCGTTGTCCTGTATGTGTTCTTTCGTGTGTATTCACACCACTTCGTGTAGAAAATCCCTTCGAACAATATTTGCATTCAAATGGGCGCTCACCTGAAAAAGGAATTCAGAAATTAGTCACCAAGCCATACATAATTGATGGTGAGTGGACAAATTGATCAGTTACACAACTATTTAATGATTTACTCTATTACAAATCACCATCTGAATAATATCTAATGTAGCCTAGACCTGATTACACACCATGTAGTATTACAGCTCATTTTTTCTTACCTGTATGTGTCAGTGTATGACGTTTTAGCAGAGACGGTCGATCGAATTGCTTATCACAGTGTTCACATGTATGCATACGCCGTTGTCGTCTTCTTCCACCCATCACCACTCCCATGTCATTTGATGTTGTATTCGGTGGAATAGACATTTTAAATTCATTTTTCTCTGATGTATCAATTAAATCGGCTATTCGTAGATTTAATTTCATCGAGACGGTAGACTGCTTTCTAGTTTTAACGGTTTTAGTCTCCTCTTTTTGGTCAGATGGAGGCGGTGTATAAGAAGCCGATTCCAACTGTAAATTTTTTGCCGGACACTGTTTATCTTGTTCATTGGTGTTAAATATCCTCGATGACGAGGGTGACATATTTACTGTACTCAGGTCATCTGTCAGATTCAGTGATGTATTACAGCATAATGTACTGTCATTAATCCCATCTCTTGTTTTCAGCTGCCTTTGAAATTTCACATTTTCCGGTTTATAGCGTTTAATTTGTGTTGCTGGTGTTGATGTGGCATCAATTTTCGATTTGGGCAACTGTTTTGGTGTCTTTCCATTCTATATAAATGAATAAGGGAATGAATTATTGAATGAATCTCAATTATACTACGAAATTTTCTAATATCCACTTTAAAAAAATTATTCAGGTTTGTAGTTGACATATAACACGACGTAGTAAATGTATTGTATTATGTATATCACAAGTAATTTGCATCCATAAAATCAAAAGAAATAGAAATATTCGATGTAATTCTGCATAACCGAAATCCAACATTTTCAATTCACACTTTTCTAACAAACTCACTATGATGTGAAATGTTCACTTAGCTTTATGTGAATAATGCGGTGTTACTTAATTGATACGATCATTCCTCATATGATTCCTTCTCTGTGTCCTCAAACACATCTACACTAAAGAAACTTTCGTGCTAAACCTTAAGGTTAGACAATGATTCAGTGTATCAAGCAATTACCAACAACAGATTGAAGCTTTAGTAACAAGGAATCAGTATAGGCTAATATGTCCCATTTATCACAATGGCCCTGTTACATAACAGGATGGATGTTAATTTGAATCAGAATTCTAATGATATATAGTTGGATATTGAAATTAATTGGCTAATAGTTCAGTAGAGTTATCGGCCCAGGTGCCTCTGATCACTATACAAATTAACAATATGAAAACTCAGCAAGTTATGGATAAATAAATTTTTCAGAGGGTATCTTACTTTTAGAAGTAATAATTCCTTGTCCGATTCTGGACTGGTATTGTTTGATGAAGATCCAGAAGATGTAGTGAAATATGTTGTGCCAATACCACTATCTGTTTAAAAATAAAAAGTGAACAGGCAAACGATTACTAGTCAATATTACAACCTTCATTTTAGTGGTAATGAAAGTGTAATTAATATCACTCCAACAGATTTATATATAAAACGCCAAGATACCATAGGTAATATATCACTAATGTTTACGGTAATATACAAGGGACTACATGAAGACCTACGCTGTACATCATACAAACGATAGAACGCCGGATTACATAAAGTGGCAACATTCAGGAGCGTAATTCTGTTGACTTTATAATTTTTTTAATGTTCTAATTGGAACTCAAGAAAATAAGACTCCAGCAGTTGGGGCCTGAATTTTCAGTGGACATGCCACTTACCCGAGTGGAGTTGCAAGCCTCGCACCCGAAAATCCCTCTTTGTCAGACTTATTAACGCCTGGTAAAATAAGTAGGATCTAGGAGTGCGTCGGCCAGGAGTCGAAACTTGAACAACTTGCGTGGTTGACGAGAATTCTACCATTCAGTCGTCGAAACACAAGACAGATTTTATGTCCAAGGCTAATGCCTCAGAAAGCTGAAAGTGAGTAAATTTTTCATACAACAACCGTCAAAATATACAGAGCCTCATTACATAACATACACATGCAAAAGTATAAATGGAAAACTCATATAAAAAACTTACCAGCTTTTAATGAATCCGCAAATTTTTGGGAATAATTATTAGATGCATTTTTTGACAGTTCAGCCATTTCACCAATATCATTTTCACTCGTCATTTTGATTTTTAGGTATGGTTATACGTGAAAGCAAACTAAAAGTTGAAAAAAGTAGAAACAATTAATTACTATGAACGTCCATTTCACTACTGGACTAATTAAATGATGGATAGCTTTTTTGGTCTAAAATAAACACTGGCTGGCACACATTTGAAATGGTTTAATTCAATTTAAATGATTGTTTATACACGCACCGAAACTTGCTGCCATGTTTAGCCATCATTATTAGTCTGGATTAATAACTAACTAACTACAGATGGTATTCAGCCGGAATGGACGTTAAACTATAAAATATATGTATATGTATATATGTAATAATTAAAGCTCGATTTTCCTTTGTTCTTCATATGCTTCTCAGCAAAATTACAACCCCCTCCCTCTGGGAGTAGGGAAAAAGTAAACATCGACGTACTCTTCCTTAGTTCAACATCTAAGTAATAAAACAGTATTATGCAAATAAAGAAACTGCTAGTCAACTTATCATTAAATCTAAATTCGCATCAAAGACTGTGTTTATTTTTAAATTTAGTTTATGTTTGTGGAGGAAATCTGATTAATTACATCAGCTTAAAGTCAGCCTAGAAGGGAGAAAAGTAAAAAAGGCTGATTGATCACCAGTGATCTTGATAACTTTGTTTATTTAACAATAATCGGTAGGGGTTTATTTATTATTATTTTTTCTTATCATAGCTTATCAGAAATAAGGTACCTTTTAGGTTTAAGAAAATGGATAAAAAATAATTATTGTTTTTAATTGAATAGGAAAGTATCAAAAACGTAAATAGTTTATAAGAAAGTGGGAAACATTTAATAACATGTAATTAACTTTTACTGCCACTGGTCAAATCCGTTAACATGTATACTAACACACACACGTACATACAAACTTACATACATGTATACACATACACATATTTACATCTCATGAAGATGAATTAACCCGATCCAAAGCCATTTATGTACTGATCAGATAACACGATTGTTACAATCACCGTTTAGTGTTTATCTAGTTCTTTGTACAACTGCTTAAAAAAGGATAAAGTCACCGTCAGACACTTTTGCTGATTCTGGTTACTTATATTACGATGACTATATCTAAAACTGAGACTGTGCTAATGAGGGAATTCTATTGCACAACTCTTGTTCACCAACCAGTTAGCAGGGAATCCCACAGTAGATCCCTCTCCATGTCTCACCACTGGTTTCATATCTATTGCATTGTGCTTGACATTGGACACTTACATGCTGGACTGGCTTTTGAGTTGTTTTTTTATTAGTCAGAATAACAAGTCCCATAAATGTTTTAAAAAATAATTACACTGACATCATTATTACTATTACATAACAACTTAACTGCCAACCAATAAAATATCGAACAAATTATTTTTCGTTGTCATTGTTTAAAAGTCACACTTGATTTCAACTCATACAATTAATTAGTTACCAAGATGGCTAAATTAACTATTAGTTAAGATTTATAAGAAGCTTAATAATTCCTATGTAGGCAATTGAGATTACAGGTGACCATGACAACAAATTTTATTCAAATATTATCTACTGTGTGTTGCATAACAATGTTTACTAAATGTGTGAGTAGTAGTCACATTGCATTTACAAAGAAAGAAGAAAAAACAGTTACTAAGATGATTTAATATGTATGCATAGATTAGTAATTAATACTTGAATTTGCTTATATGTATTAATGACCTAGTCAGTGTTGTCATCTTCGTGTAAATCAATGATTCAGAATCCCTATTTATATTTGTCACCTTAAAATACCCAAAAAACATGGACACACAATCCATTTGATGAATTTGAATAAGGCATATAGAAGAAAAAATGACTTGACAGTTTCTCTAAAATCCTATCATAGTAAGCCAGCCCAGGCACTTCTTTGGTGCTCTTGCCCTGTAGTAAGCACAGTAAAGATAGAGGTTATGCAAGAGATTACCAACCTCATCCCTTAAGAAACACCACTGCTCGTGAAACTTCAGAGCTCTAGCTTGATGCCTTATGCTCCACTGAGCATGGCTGATAATTAGGAAATGTTTAACAATTAAAAATTTCCACAAGAACTGTTACTAAAGCAGCATTTAATGAATTCATAAATTTCGGATAAGACTCGTCAACTGAATACTTAATGAACATGATTGCGCATACTAGTTTATAAGGTTAACGCACAGGCCCAGGGATAGGGTGTGAAGAAATAAGTAGAATCATACTACAACACAGTCTCATTGCAGTTGCATGATTAACCGCAATATATTATGAAATTAAACTGAACAGGGATACCAACAAACATGCGCCTAAATCTTTGGTTCAAGGAAAACATAGAGACATTTATGACATTATGACATCTGAGTAATGGGGTGAATGTAAGAAGGAATGCGTACTGTATGCATGAAAATATAAATCATATCCACATCAATATAACTTTTACAGTATAGAGTCTAAAATTACCTGAGAACTAAATTTCCTTTTAAATTACCTCTTATTAGAACCGTGGTTCAGGATGTCTTCAAGCATATTGTGGTGGCCATCAAAAATTATATTATATCTGAATGTCTACCAAAAAGAGGATTTTATTTGGACATGTCATTTTACATTACCTATTCATTTTTTAATGTCACTGATATCCACCACTATTGTCACAGGATTCACTCCATTAATTCACACATCGAAATAATACACTGACCACTTCTCACTATACTAATCAACACACTGTCACACTGTCATTTTCTCCTACATCGTGTACAAACAAGCCAACAAACAAACAGATTAGTTATCTTAGTCATAGTGGAGATAAGAGACTTAGACACCTTGAATTTATAATCAATCACACCTGCTTAATACATTTACTAGCATGGAGATGAGAATTTGTGTATCCTATGCGTAAACAACTATCAATAAACAGATTATGACGTAATGTTTATTGTTATTTTATACACAGTTTCCTCCTATAACACCTTTCCTCCACTACTGTATTTCGCACACACACACACACACACACAGATACACAAACACTCGACGCACACACACATACAAAGCGGAAACGCACTCTCCTGTTTTTACTATTCTCACCTAATGGTTGCATCATCTTTAATCTCACAGCACTGATTGACTAATCGTGATCACTACTAGCCTATTGTTGTTGTTGTTGTTGTTGGTGGTATTCAGATCATGATTTGATGACCTATGCGTATCTATGCCGTTTGTTTTTTTGTGTATCTGTATATAGATGTATTGTGAAGTTAACACTTTAGTGAACTGGTGAATTAATAATGATTTTGAATAGTTTGAATGAAAATCCTATAATCGAATGATTACATAAACATACCATGCAGTCCATTAAAACTTATTTAGTCTGTTGTAAATGTCTAACTAATCCCACGTTTATCTATTAACTTAGCCACTTTTCTTATCAGTTTAACTAAATGGTGTATATATATAAACATAGTATTTGCAGCCATTAGTTACCAAGACAACTGAATCCTTTAGGTGTCAGAAGGTTGCGAGAAAAAAATACATGGAAGTAAATCTATCTCACACTATTGTATGGTGGCAGTACTTATTATTTGATTACGAACTTTTTTTTAAATAATCGGATCCACTGATAACATTTTTAGATATGATAGAGAAGATTTGTAGCTCAGGTGCATGATTTCGATGTTGTTGTGTTCTCTGAGACGGATGGTTTATTTGCGAAATTCGCATTGACTTACTAGACAACATCTTTAACGCATACTTTAATCAGAAGTACTTCAAATTAAAGATGTTGCCTGGTTTGGCAATGAGAGTTTCTCACATAAGCTATCCAGCTTAGAGGACACAACAGCATCAAAAAAGATAACATTTTTATCAAATAGTCTACCACTTGTAATATAACTACTCAAAATCCACATCCTTAATTTCTGTAGGATTTCATGATTACGAAAATGCACATTATTTGTTTTGGTGAAATTAAATTTAGCTTAAATTTTACACCAATATTAGCAGTTAACAAGAAATCAAGAACAGAATGGCAGTGATGTAGACAACTGACGAAAAAAATAATAAGGGATATATTATAAATCATTTAAATTAATCCCAGCCTGTTAAGAAAATCAATCTAGATGATCATTATGATCTAACTTATCTCTTAATATTCAGATCTCGAACAAATGGGCTCTAATAATCGATTTTATCATATAGAATACTGGTAGGCAAACTAAGAAAATACGAGACAGACCAATATTCAGTAACTACCTGACATTCCAATAATGTTCATTTTCCAACCTAATCACCGCCGGTGGCACAGCGGTAGAATGTGTGTCAGCCACGTATTTGGTTCGGAGCTCGATCCCGACCGAAGCACTCCTCTACTTCACTAAATCAGTAATGTCTGGTAAAGAGGGAAGGTTGGGCATGAGGCTAGCAACGCCCTCCTGTAAAAATAAATACCACTGCTACCGAAACTTCAAAGCTCTAACTTGAAGCCCTATGTTCCACTGAGAACGTATAGGAATAATAAAATAATATAAAAAAATTCCAACCTAGTCATACTCTATCTCTGAGGCTTTGACGAAAATTGTCATTCGCTAAAATACTATATTTAATAATCTGATCCGATGAAATGAGTAGGCCTTCACTATTAGATGTATTTTTTTCCAATAAGCATCTCAGCCCTTTAATTTTAGATTCATATTCAAAAATAAATATCATAACTGATTAAATAATGCCATTTAACTATTTGGTATATCTAATACACAAACCAAGAGTATCTTAGCTTATGGATGAACACATCCTGCGTAAATGAGTTGTTACACACGAATATGAGCAAAAGCGGCATCTCTATTTTTCAGAATACAACTGGCAAAATCCTGAAGAATCCAACAGGTTAGATATCCTTTGGTCACCTTATATTAAGGTTGTAACATGTTTAAGTTATATAACCAGTAAAACATAGCAAAACGAAATAATCAGCGCACAAAATGAGTTCATCCCCTTAATCTATGAGGATATTTGAAATTCATAACACTGAGTCCTAAAATTAGCGGATATTTATTTACGAACTACAAAGGACTTAACGAAATTTGGTTTCCGTTCAGCGGGTGATGGTACTATATGTGAGATAAAGTGGAATGTTTCTATAGTTGGATGCGGGCTATACGAAAACAATGCATCTTATACATCTGTAGCCCTGATGCTCTCTAGAAGGATACTAATGCCTTCTGAATAATATTCACCTATACGTAGAATGCTTCATTTGACAATTATGGTGACTTATTATTTTCATGACAAGTTTTAGTATACTCACACTAGGATAATGCTATTCAGGTAGACACACACTGATACAACAAATATCTTTGTTGATGGTGTTTCCAACACACAGAATACTGCATCGCTGTCAAAATTAGTATATTACGGAATTATTCTCTACAATTAATGCCAGTAAAAATTTTGAGCACTGGGGAATAGATCAAATAAATTATAATTATATTTCAATAGTTTACACACAATGATAAGTTTTTGTTTTTTTTGGTAATATTTCGTGCGGAATTACTAAAAACGAAACAATTCTAAAAGCTGGTGTTCTCAAGGGCAGTGTGTAAATTAATGAAATATAATTATAATTTATTTATTCTTTACAAAAATACCTAAATTATACTCTCTTGTCAATAATATAAACCAGCATAAACAATTAGGGGATACTATGCTGAAGATAGATGAACTACACTAATATGTAAAACGCATTTGTAAAATAAATGGTTTTATGAGAACTTACATAAAAATAACCTCGTAGGGAATTGTCAGTAGAATTTATGATGCAACTTATTGTATAATTGCCTATTGTATTGTCCGGTAGACTGTACAATATCCACCGTCTTCCGCAGTAGGCCAGAGCTGATGAATGTAAACTCCCGAAATTCGTTGTGCTTGATGGATACACTTTGAGTATTTATTTATATTTATTTTCACCATATATACAATTTAGAAATAAGCCGTGAATTTTTATGGGGGTGTGTATTCCAATAATCTCTCACCCCATGTTCATATCACACCGTCTTATACATTAACCAATCGGATTTTAGTTCTTATTGTATTTTTTGGTGAACGTGAATGACAGTAGTGATTTTTATGCCGTCTAGTGTGTTAATTATTCGGTCCTTCTCCTTATTGGTCAAATAGTGTAATTATGTTTGTTATTAAGTTGTATTATTCACATACCGACAAATAAATCTCTATTGGTGCAAACAGTAGGCTTACAGTATTTGGAAGGTATCTGAAGGAATGCAATATGAACATGTGCAGTATAAGGGAATATTGATGAATTATACAAGACTCCTTGAAAATAAAAATAAAATTACAGATGGATAACCACATATCTGTTCAGTTTCCACGATGAATAAAATTAATTCGAAGGGTAGGCGTAAATTATAGTTAAGATCTTCTGAAGCTCTAGTTGTTGGTAACAGATATGAAGAGGAATATGTTTATTAGGCTTCTGGTGATGCTTTATTAACCTTTATTGCTTGTTTTAAATTCGTATCGGGAAATAAATGTTTTCAATTCTGGTGATGCGTAGTCTCTTCTTGTTTAACTAACAATGAAATCTAATATTACTGGAAATCAATATTTAACTTAATGCTATGTCTAATATTTGATCAATATTTCATCGTTCAAAATGACTATGCTAACAGATACTGGATTGCTTAAATAGGTTTCGATTTGTTTAGTTAATAACCAGCTATGAAAAGTATTTAAATAAAAAAAAAGTATATCAGTTTTGTAAATTCCTGAGCGGATTCAATGTTCACGCCAAATTCACAGTACATGTTTTCGTAAGCACACAGATGAATGAGTAATCCTGTGTGTGAGTACTATGCCAAATTATATGATATTTATGACATTTCAATCTTGAGCATTGTATTCAAGATGTACACCTATTTTATACAAAAGAATCAGTTAATGTAACCATGAACTGGACATAAGTTAAGGAGACAGCTGAGTGAAATCAACCGCCAGGCCGTCGATTGGAACTCGGAAGGAAAACAGAAAGCTGGGCAAGGATCCAAAGGTAAAATGGAGGAGACTGTGTCAGAAGGTGGTGATAGCTTATGGGCAATCGTGGGATGAGCCAAAAAAGATTGTAAGAGAACAAAAAGAAATGAAGATGCACTGATGAAGTCATACACTGCACTTAGGACCCAAGGAAATCACTAGCAAGTGTAAGAAGTAGTTATCATCTTAGATAACCGAAAGGAAATTTTAGCCTGTATTGCATGTTAATCACTGAAGTAACTTATATAAGTGAAACGTACTACAACGTGTTCCTCCCAATTTTTTAAAGTCCCGAAGGTTATATAATATTTCCAAATAACCAATAGTTGGTTAATCATGAATAAGTCAGCGGACGGTAATCACTTTAATTAACCACCTTTTAGAAACCTGTATTTTAATTCATTTGGTAGTTCAGTTACTCCTGAAGGAAAGTCAGCCATATTCTGAATAGTTTCAGAGTAAAACCATAAACTTCCACCTGAATAACTGGACAGTTAAAATATCTTTTTGGTTTCACCTTAATATCGGCAACATAATGTGCATTACTATACGCAGCTTCTGCCACTTAGTATTCTAGTTTACACATACTGTTTTTGCTTAATAATTGCAAAATCACCATCGAAGAAAGTTATGCGAAGGCGATCTACTATGCCTAATTAGTCGAATTAAAGACCTGAAACTTTAGATTATTTCCTGGATTCTTATTCTTCTTTTATAATGTCATTGAACATGGGCTTATTTTGAGCACTTTTCATAGGGAGTCAAAACTTACAACTATTAATAATCAAAATGAAGGTGAGATATAATTAAATGTTATGTCCACTTCTCCATCAGGATTATTACATTTTAATTAGTTTTGTATTAGTCCTACTGAACCAATGAATTTCCATTTATTCAACAAAATTACTCCTAAAGGTATTTGTATGACTTATAAGCATTATTTTCAGATTTCCCTCTCCACTTTATATATGCTCGGACTTAAATCACGAATAATCAAGTCCAACTATGAGCGAATATCTGCTTGTATCTTCCTCTACAATAGATGATCTCTGGATGGCTTGATAAATCTCCAATGGTTTACATTATATACATAGATTACATTAATTCTTCTGCGTTGCCCTTTGAACACAGGACTTCAGGCTAGAGCTCGCGCCCAACCTTCCTTCTTTACTGGACTCAATAGAGCCTAAAAGTGTAGTAAAGGAGGGTGTGTTGGCTGGGTATAAAACCACGGACCACTTGCGTGAATGGCCAGTGTTCTACCACTGAACCACCAACGCACCAGTGGTTTTTAACTTAATAAATTGCAATCCAATAACTAAGACTCGTCTTCAGTTTTTGTTCTAGTGGACTGAATATGTACATTACTGAGGAACTGCCAGCTTGGTGAGTGATTTTCATTCAAAGATATTCACATCCATGTTTTTAAGCCCTATAGTAAAGGTATCTGAGATCTTAGGTCAAGGTCCAGTTGAAAACTAAAGGCTGTGTAAGACAGAAGTCGATCGCGATAGGATTAATGCAAGACCTAGCCGCTAATTGGGTTATCATTTCACTGTCTGTCTGTTTTTGACATAGAACTTTGCACTAATGTGCGGCAGTTCAAGTCTCCACACTCCATGTAGCACACAAAGCAACAGAAGAAAGTAGAAGAAATGCATAATAGAGACAGTAAGCAGAGGTGTGAGACAAAGGAAGAGTAATAATGAAGAACAAAACAGTTTCGTTGGAAATCATAAGTCACAAGGAGTGGATGCATCTGCACCAGCCTTTGAGAACGATTTTGAGCCATGTCACCAAATGTTTCCAACCATTTGTTTTTACCGTCCCAAGGACCCCAACCAGGAAGTCAGTCTACACCTTCCTACGTGGCTTAGACTAACTGTTGTGGATTTCATTGACTGGTGCCAAGTTTTTGTTTGACCTCCGCTAGCTTTTTTCCAGACTGACCCTATGTCCGCTAACATTGCCCATTGTTGAGGAAGGCGATGACTGGGCATACGTAACACATATCCTGACCATCTCAGTCGATGTAATTTCACAACCTCGTCGATTGATTTCCCCTCCTTACCTAGCACTTGACTAACGCCTCACCTCAATATTGCTCACCTTATTATACCACTTCACACGGGAAATAGAACGCAGGCACCTATGATCAAAGACAGGTAGTCTTTTCATGTCTTCCACTCTCAGTGGCCAGGTCTCACAACCATACAGGAGGACGGAGCGGACTGATGAGCAGTACACCCGACCTTTGATCGTTAGCCAGCCGGATATCACGTCTACGCCAGAGACGGCGTAAACTAGCATACGCGAAACTAGCCCTTTGGCACTGGCTGATGATATTTCCCAAATAAGAGAAGCGGTCAACATGCTCTACAACTTCACTTCCTATTTTTAAACTAGGCGTCGATGTAGTCCAGTCCTGTAACATCATCTTGCATTTGGCGGGAGCGAATCGCATGCCAAACATTCGTAGATTGCAGCTCAAGGTGTTTAGAAGACTCTGCATTTTTTCCGAGTCCTCGCCTAGAAGGACTATATCGTCTGCATATTCTAAGTCAACGAGACTTTTCCCTGGTAGCAAGTCAATCCCCGAGTCGCTGAATTCACTTAGGGTTAAGTCCATTAGTACATCTATGATGAAGTTGAATAGAAAAGGGGATAATGGGCGTCCTTGACGGACACCACTGGTCGTCACCAGTTCAGATGACAACTCGCTGTAAGTCCTCACCTGGCTGTATCAGTACGAGTAGAGTTCCTTAATCAGTGCAATGTATTTTCTCGGCATTCCCTTTACAGCCAAGCACCGCCAGAGAACCTCCCGGTCGACAGAGTCGAATTCCGCCTTTAGGTCAAGAAATATAATGACTGTTGGACGCCGGTAAGTACGTCTATGTTCTAGAATCTGTCGGAGGGTGAAGATATGATCAATACACCCTCTTCCTGGTCTAAAGCCTGCCTGGCTCTCTCGTGTTTGTTCTTCCCGAGCACCACTTAGTCTACGCATGATTATTGAGCTTAGGTTTATTCCAGGTGTCATTTCAATGCTTAGTGGACAATCAACAGTTTGAGATAATATCTGTGACTGTCCAACAGTGCCTTCTCTTCTGACAGCTGATCACAGTGAATTAAACCTGGGCAACAACTTGTAGACCCCACAATCTCAGAGCAATTTGCATACGGAACCAAATGAGTAAGTTGTACATTAAGTGGTGTTCTGCTCTAGTCGCTCAGAAGTTCCTACATCCAGTCCTACACTGAGCAATGTTTTCATTTCATCACTAATCATCCCTCACTAAAAAAAAGGCAAATCTTTTTACTAGATGACTTTTTGAGCGCAAACGCACACACACTCAGACACACACACACATTATTAACATTTAAGCTTATCTTTAGATTGACTGATCTGTATGTGTTGTTCACACATACTGTTCACCTTTATGTTATTGTTGTTTTTTTGCGCACAACTAAGGTGAAGCTGTTTATCAAAACACGAAGCTCAGATATCACTCTTAAAGCTCGGATAAATAAATAAGAGAAAATGTTTTTTTCCCCCGATGTATAAAGAAAGTATACACATAATCCTATCTAATTATAATCTATAATGTAAGAAGATTTCTATACACCAGATAATGAAAAGTGGTGTATGTATAACTGACTAAGTATTATTATTATGTCATTTCTCAGGATTAATGACAGTGGAATACATCATCATACTAAAGAAGAATGTTATTATTTTAAAAAAGACGATCTGCTAACATTATTTCTTCAAACAACTGAAATCTTAAACGTTTAAATCAATGAGTCATATACAAGGAGTTCAAATGATATCTTACTGATTCACTGACATTTTAACTGTCCCAGAATCCTCATGTTTTTTATGACAACGAAGAATGTTGACCAT